ATACCGTACCATGCAGTGGAAAAGCGCCAAAGCGTGCCGTACCGAACCGTGCCATACCGTACCATGCAGTGGAAAAGCGCCACTAAATGCGCATGTGCGAGCGGTGTGCGATCATGATCGACTCTGTCGACTGACAACGAGATTAAACAGCTGAACAAGAATACGGCTGTGTTCCGATTGTTCTCATCTCAGCTCCGCCGAGACAAACGAGCAGGCTTATGTGCCGGGACTGAGCCCCGGAGAGCCCCGGCCCAATTTAACCACTGCTTTTATAATTTTTTATATTTTATTCTTACATTTTTATTACTATGTTTCTTGTTGCATTTGTATGTGCACTGAAAGCTTCAGTACCAAGAAAAAAATCCTTGTGCGTGCAAACACACTTGGCAATAAAGCTCTTTCTGATTCTCATTCTTTACTCTCTTGACATCCTGATCTGTATCAGAAATCCATTTCTACCAGAAAGACTCGGGATAATAATACTGTAACAATTAAGCATTTATTAACAGCCCAGCAAGCAATATTATGATATAAAGTTCTTTGGCGTAGGCCCCGTCCGTAGCTCGCAGTCCGAGGGTCCGGACTCTGCATTTCCTGCTTGGAAGACGAAGGCAGGGGCGCAGCCGACCCCCTGTGAGGTATGGGAAGGGACCATCCTGGTGGTGGTGGGGAGGATGGAGGGGAAGGGACCATCCTGGTGGTGGTGGGGAGGATGGAGGGGAAGGGACCATCCTGGTGGTGGTGGAGAGGATGGAGGGAAGGAACCATCTTGGTGGTGGTGGGGAGGATGGAGGTGAATGGAAGCGTCAGCATCTGCGAACTCAGACATGTGTAAGTACCTATCTTTTATACCACAAGTATTAGAACACGATAGATTGGATAGATGAGAAGGTAATGTGTGACGTAACAATTGAGTCTTCCCGGCAGAACTTATGCTAAAGCTTTCATATTGTAGTCTACTATAAACAATAAGCCTACCATGTTGCTCAGTAAGCATACTAACCTGGTGGCCTACTTTAGCACATACAAAACTGATCTGCTGTCATTAATGTGATCTGAAAATAAATACAAAATTAGGTTTTTACAAATTCACAGCCATCTGGGAGTGAGTGAGAGAGAGAGAGAGAGAGAGAGAGACAGACTTTTTTTAAATAAATAAATTCATATAAATATAAATAAACATATAAATATGTTAAGGCATTACAACTGTACAACAGTAGCCTTAACATATTGAGATTTTTACAAAATTCACAGCCATCGGAAACAGAGAGCGACAGAGACTTTTTACATTAAGACACATTTTTAGGAAGAGTTCCACATCAGCGTTTTCCACTTTTTGCCTGGCATGTCTTTCTGCCTCTGACTGATTCCTTTATCCTTCCTGTGACTACAAAGTCAGCATGTAGCTGCTTTTGTGCTGAGGGGAGTTTTCTGCAAGCAGCTCAGTTCTGCAAGCTTTACTTCTAGCCACATTGTTAGCTTTCCATGTTCTAAACAATGTCGAAGGCTTATTAGTCATCTACCAGACACCAAGACGACAAGAAGCTGGATAAAACATAACATTTCTATTGGGAGTTTTTTTAACAAAGCAGTTTTTATTGAACTATACAGTTATAGATCTCTTTAAATGTGTTTGATTTTAATATTGCTTAGTTTTGGTTGCATGCTATGCAGAGGTGCTAGGAACAGCTGAGGCTTCATCAAATTCTTTTGTGTAGACCTCATGTGAAGAATATTTGTTCATGGGGGTAAATCCACTGGAATTTGAATTGAGTTAGAGCTTGGAAACTGCAGGGGGTCTGCGTGTGCAGGCAGGAGGGACTCTTAGAAATCAAAAGACATTGACCAATCTGATGACCTCAGCAGTTTGCCAGTTCTGACAGTTTTCTGGCTGGAATATGCTGGAGTGAAACTGCATTATTGGCTCAGTCCTGCAAAGTATTTTTAATGGTGATAGATGTTTCTTCATCACTAGAATTCTTCAAGCATGGCAAATGGATTGGGTGATAAATCTACACCTTTGGTTATCAGACTTATAGTTCCTTAGGTTTGCCTTCCATTTTACCAAGGTCTGTGTGAACATGCTTGGTATTATATAAATTATTGTTTGTATTCTCAGTTTCTCTGTATGCATGTTTGCACGTCTTTTTTAGCGTAATAACTCTGTATATGAGTAACCTATTCTGAAAATCATTACCTTGATGGGGAAAGGACTTTTTGTGTATTATGTCTCCAGTTCTCTTCATTAGTATGCATGCAAATCCACTGGCCAAACACCTACAGTTCTGTATTAAACAACTACTGCCACTCTTCTCTACATTTTAGCTTCACATCTTCTGCCTCCTTTCTTTCTCGATGAGTTCTCTTTTTTATCTCTTTGTTCATTAAAGTCTGTCTGTCTATTTCATATTTCGTACTTTGCAAGAAGATAATCTAGCCTATCCACATTTCTGTGTTGATTAGGTTTGTTAAAGGAACACGCCGACTTTTTGGGACTTCAGCTTATTCACCGTATCCCCCAGAGTTAGACAAGTCCATACATACCCTTCTCATCTCTGTGGGTGCCGTAACTCTGTCTGACGCACCCACCGCTAGCCTAGCTTAGCACAAATACTGGAGGTAAACGGCTCCATCTAGCCCACTGCTCCCAATAAGTGACAAAATAATGCCAACATTTTCCTATTTAGGCTACATGTTGTGATTTGTATAGTCACAGTGTGTACAAATAACAAGGTCACATTATGCAGCCATCTTCTAACCGTATACATACTGGGAACTATATTCTCAGAAGGCGAAGCACTGCTACTTCTGCGGAGTGATTTACTCGCAGCAGCCTTGATCACCAGTCACGTTCGCTACTAGCTAGCTAGTCACGTTGGTTTTGTTGACGGAAGTACGGTGCTTTTCAGGTGTTGCGCTAATCACTCCGCCCAAGTAGCAGTGCTTCGCCTACAGTCAGAAGGTACAGCCACGGTCGCTTTGGCCAGGTAGTATTTATAGCAAAGGGGGTGGGACGCTTCAGATTCTAGAGAGCATTTGATTGGACAGAAGATGTGATGAGAAGCTGAAGTCCATGGTGACGTCATAAAAATCTGTGATCCATTTTAGCGGAAGTGAGAGACTGTAAGTTTTGAATGCTTATATCTCCTAAATGTGAATTTTGTCATTGCTTTGGAACACACCAGTTTATGTATAACATTAAGCCTAACATATTCATAAAGAGCTAAAAAACTTACATTTTGATTTCAGGGGGCCTTTAAATTCCTCACTTTTAATTTTTATTTATCAAACTGAAACGATCACATTCTATCTTAAGACCTAAAGACGTCAATGCAAGTCTACTTTAAAAAAATTTTTTTATCTCACAATGGACTGTAATAAGCCCACACATTAATTCTAAATAATTGAACACTTGTTTGATTAAAAAGACGGAGGGAATGAAATGTATTCTAAAGCCATTTTGAAGGCTTTTATTCAGTCTGTCCATGCGAGTTATACTCTGGACTGCAAAGTCTGAATAGAATCACTGATACCATTTACAAGGAAATGAGTACAAAGCTTTAACAAATTGCATTAAACAAATAGCTTGCAGCCATTGGTGGACCTGTGGCCAAATTCTTTCTGTGAGAGAGCCCATGAGAGATTCCTTTCCAGATAATTAGCTTTTCACCCCTGAAGAGCCCCCTTTTTCTCAACTCCCCCTGTCACCATCTCTCTCTTTCTCTTTTTTATCAATATTTCTCCACCTTCCCTAAATCTTCCTCTTTTTAAAAAGCTAAAATCTGCAAGATAAAATCCAAGGTCAGAGAGTGAAAGAAAATTAACACAATCCATTCTGTTCACCTGATAAATAGCAGAAGAAACAAGATACAACTGTCTAAATGAGAGCCGTTTAGGTAGTAGTGTGTTTGTTTTTAAACTCCCTCAAGAGGTTTGGCTGAAAGATCTGGCTGTGTTTTTGAATGATTTGGGGTCACTTGTATTAATGTGACGCGAAGCGGGAAACTGAAGACAGTTTGTGGATGGTGAAAATTTACCTGAGCTAATGCTAAACACACAGTGAGAAACATGATATGAGGAGACATACAGGAACTGTGAGAATAAAAAGGGTCAGAAGACAAAGTGTTGGGCTTTAGAAATCAGGTCATTTGTTAGAATGATCAGAGTGGGAGGAAACAGGACAGTTCGAGGAAACATATTAGCATTTAATGCTTTTGTACATACAATTTGTTTCTTGATTAGATTTCAAAACAGATGTAACAGTTTTTTAAGAGTAGGTTTCACCTCTGGGAGTCTGTTGCAAATATAAAAGTTTTTTTTTTTTCAAGTCTGCAATAGTGCAAAACAACCACACACACAAATCCAGTTTCACAATGAATCATGCTCAAACACACTCACACAATACAAACTTGTCTTGCAAAGAAGGAAGTGAAATTGTGAGGTAAGGTGCCTTTGTGTGTGGTGTGTTGCAATTAATATCGTCTCCTCCAACTTCCCCTTGTTTTTTGGTGTTACAAATAGTTTGAAAGTAAAAAAAAAAGTTTTATTTTCTTTATTTATTTATGTATTTTTAACTTTAAAACTTGATCTGAAAACAATCCACTTTTTTCCCCCTAAGCCTCTAAACTTTCCAAACGAATGCACTTGCCACAATGGTTAGGTGTACCTGCATATGCAAATGCTTTATACAGGAGCCAGTGTGCAGCTTTTTCCAGCTCCACCCACAGGACCTCCCCTGAAACCCGGTTGCCTAGCAACAGCCATAGAGCTTGAGAAGGGGAGAGTAGGAGTGGCTGGAAACACACAACTGCTGTCAGAGCTTCTGTGAGTGTGCAGAGTGAGGGTGTGTGGTCAAGCAAGCCTGAATTGTGCGGTGTGTTTTCACAAGTTTCAGAAACTATTAGATTCATTCAAGAAGTGAGCAGATGAAAATAGTCAGCATAAGGATTCTCTCTCTCTTGTCCTTGGCAGTGGATTACAGATTTTGATACCAGTGAGGCCTCACCTGTTGGATTTGAGTTGGATGACAACAGTGGACTGTGAGGAGTGGAAGAGATCATGGTTCCTCAACTGTGAGAGACAGGGTAAAATTAGCTCTTTTTATTGTATTTGGCAGAGGAAAGGAATGGACTTTGAATATGAAGAGTTAATGTCAAGGGTTTCATGCTTGTGTTGCTCACTTAATGATTACATTTACCTGTTCATTTCTCATTTGTGTTACTTCTAACATTCACCTCATTTTTTTCACACTAATATGGCTAGACTGTCTTTTGTTGGTCTCCAAACAGTTCTCTGTTGTACCTGTCTTTCTCTCATTGTTAAACTGTCTGATTGCCCTGCAGTCAGATGATAATGAGATTAATTGTTAATTGAGGGCAGCTGACAGCTTATGTGTTCATAAACCTAAAAGTCATTTTTTAGTAGGCTTGCAGACATAATTAATATGTAGGTTAAATTGTTTCACAGTTAGTTGTGACCTTGTCACTTCAAACCACACATACATACAAAACAAAGGAGAAAGAGAGTGTTTATTAGAAGAAACCATTAGCATATTCAATAATTTCCATATTCCATAAAACCTGGTAAAAGTTAGACCACTGTAAAGTTTTGTATACTATACTCATTGTAATTTCTCAATCTTGTCTATGGTAAAAAAAATTCTTAATCATATAATTGACAGTAATCATGCTCATGGAACACATGGGTTGGAATGCACCTCATGTAGCTAGACATCAAATGTGTTCTGGGTTCATGCTTGAGTGTTGTATGATTCAAGTGTCATTGAATATGGGTGTCAGTTGCTTAACTGAAACCTACAAACATAGCATTTTCTTAGAATTGTATTTGTCTGGTTTATTTAGTTGAAATAAGGGGATGTTTAAACCTGCAGACAGCTGTTACTGAAAGTAGGCACATTTTTCGAGAAAGATCACCCTTACACTGATTTTGGATAACTTTATCATACTGCACTTTTAAAAAAATACTGAACTGTTTAAAAAGGATTTTAAAAATAAACTGTTAATGGAAGTGTGTGTAAATGTGTTTCAGCTAGTGTTGCTGCACTGCTGTTCCTATCTATCATCTTGCTGACATTTGTTATGTCACCTGTCTTTCCCCCCTGCACACAGTCACTCTTTTTCTCTCTCTTTGCAATAAGTTTGTTTGAGTCGGCTAAATATAGACACAAGAGGACCAGTACAGTTGCATTTAATTGCTCACTTGTGTTTCACACACTTAATGTATTGAATAAAAATACTCACACACCAGCCTTCATAAAAACCTCTGTAAAGCTGTCAGAATATTTTTTTCTCCATTGACCTTTATTCAATTGTAAATATGATATTTAACACCTACATTTATTTTATATGTATGACATTCTGAGAAGTTTCCTTGAGAAATGTTAGCTTTTCTGGCTTATCTCTCACACAAAACCCCTCGGCTTGAGTTACTGCTTTACCACAGTGCAGGTTCCGATGTACTTTACAAGCTGCACAACAGAGCGATGTGGTCTGGTAATGCAATCTCTCTCTAAACAAAGACACACTATAGGCTATATATTTGTTAACTGGATATTGGTTAAAAAAAACCTGTACTGCAGCCAGGTGCAATCCATATATATAGTGAGGTGTAACGATATTCAAACCAAACCGAAAACCACGACATGGCATACCGAATGTGCCCTGCTGCCCCGTCAAGCCCTAGCCCAATGTTGAGGTTTTCCTCACTTTACCTTGTCACAAAACTAATTTTTCTTCCTTGACATTTGATTAAAAAGTAACTTTTAAATATTTTTTTTAAGTAATTTTAAAAGTAAGTGGTGTACCGGTACACGTGTTCGTCCCGCAAATTTTCGTATCTTATGTGTACAAGACGAATACAGCGTTGTAGCTTAACCATCATTAACCACCAATAATCACAATAAGTTACGCGTTTTGTTACTTTCGATAAGAAACAAAGTGTCATTTTTCAAATTATGTCAATTTTATCACGAAATTCAAACAATAAATGCCGTTTGACGCTCTTTAATGTGGCGTGACAGATCACTGCCTATATACTATATTATTATAGACGCCTCAGTTTAAGCAGCAGTGAACGTGATCATCTCTTCCTAATAAACATGAATGAACATCTGAAGGTATGTTGAAAGATACAGTGCAACTTACTGAAACGTATTATATCTCGTGTAATCTCTCAATTAGTGTTTCAATGGCGGAAAGACGCAAGTAAAACAGCTTATAAACGATAGCTATCCCACGTAGCATACATTAGGTACCTCAGGCAAGTCATTCAGTGTCCACAGCTTGTTAGTCACTATAGTCAGCTAGAAAAATTAACTCTTTCGCTAAATATATGCACTATATTAGCCTATTCATTAGCCTATATTTTACGTAACCTGTTATTGTTATCTTGATTATTTAATGTATGTTTAAAATATCTGTCATGAAAATGACACCCAGTGTGTAAATGACCTAATCAACAACTAATTGGTGTAAAAATATATAATTAAATTTAGAAGGTAATGCAAAAACTGCCTTATGTGCAGTTTGCATACAATTTGTTATTTGAGTGTTGATTATATCTAAAAATATATAGCAGCTGAATTTAGGCTAATAGTTTGGGCTCTGTTGTTAACCTTTAATATTATAGTAATGTGCAAGTAAGGGCTCCCCTACATAGTTTACAGCATTAGCAGAGATATTTCTTTATCCTTAAACGTTCAAACTGAGATCCCCCCCCCCCCCAGTTCTGAACCTTTGTGTACGTTACACCCCTAATATATAGCATTACACAGAAAGAAACAGTAGGTTTATGATTATTCATTATTCAGATTTCGGTCTTGGCAGGGAGTGTTTGCTATAGTGGCAATACCCTGGTTTGGGCAAGTTGTGTATTTCTTTGTATTGCAAAAACTGCAGTGCATCTCAGGATAGTGACTCATTGGTTCCTGTGCATCAGCTCGGCCTTGACAGATCTTTTTGTTTTTTCCTGGGTGTGTGTAGGAGGGAAAACTGACTCCTCAGACGAGTGAGAAATGTGAATCAGTATGATACATTACACTGACTGTAATCATTATAAAATGGAAAATACACTTGTATCTTCAGTTCAGAAACTGAGCTAGTTCCATATTTTTAGTAGGCTATGTAAAATACCATGAGATGGGCCATTTAGTCAAGATGTACATGCAGCAATATTATTAGACTCAGTCTAGATTAAGGCATCTGCACAGATAGACCCCAAGTGGTGCTCAAGGACCTGCCCTTTTGGCCTCTGACTAGATAAGTGTCCTTTTTGCAAAACATTTTTTTATTATTATTTTATGTTTTAGCTTTTGTTTAAACTTGGCAAGTGGCATCAATTTTCAATTCTCAGCGTGTGTCCGAGAACTTCTTAATAATTCTACGAAGACCGCACTCTACAACGACATCCCTTGTCACATATGAGCAAGAGTGCTATTCTCAGAATATCAGCACGATTGCAAAATGTGAAATTAATTTTATGCAACAACCGTTCAATAAACAATAAGTTGATTTATATGAATTGACTATTTTTATAATTTGTACTGTTTTTGCTCTATTTTGCTAATGAAAATAGTTCCAAACAAAGTAGAAAAGTTGCGTCTCCCAGCAATACACAGCGTCTTTCATTTGTGAATGATTCACCGTTTTTGAACTAATTGGGTGAGTCAATGATTCAATGACCATTCATAAAGCCAGGGGACATTTGGGCCCTGTTCCAAATGGCACCCTAGGCGCTTGCGGTCTTCCTACGAGTCCGCCCTTTTGTGACGTAACGCCACTTTCACTGTCGGGAAGAAGTCTGCTACAGACACAAAGCTCGCATCAGTGCGGGCTCAGCAAAAGTGCGCATCGAGGGCGCATATATTATTGACCTCAAAGGGGGCACTCGTGAGCACCCTTCTGAAACCTAAAATGACAAATGGGACACCCTATGGTCTCATGGACTTAACGGACATGCGCACACGGCAGCCATTGGAAGTCCACAAGACCGAAAGTGCATATGAAGTGTGCCATTTGGGACAGGGCCTTGCTTAATTCATGAATAATTCAGCCTGTTTGAACGAATCGGTTGAATCATGAATTAATGATTCTATGATTCACTTATTACGACTTGCCGCCACCTGTTTTAGTTTGATATAGGATCATTTCATTTTCCCCAACATTTAATTTCTTTATTAAAAGTGTTATATTTAAAACATTAATCTAATAATCTCATAACATTATTTAGGTAATTGTAAGATTTTGATAAATGGTAAGATGGATTTTGTTGATTCTGATTCTAAATTTCATTTAGATTGCTGAAGTGAAAAAAAGTTGAACAATTAAAAAGTTAACTTAAAAAAGTTTTTACTGTGAATTTTATTTACATTTCTTGTTATGAAAAATACACAAAATTACTATTTTAAATTTGTGTATGAAATATATATTTTCAAAAGACGTTTTACTCTAAAACTGCAAGAAAATGAAAGCCATGAATCTAAACAATTTTTTAAATTCTAAATTTGAACTTGATATCTCAAAAAATTGCTTTCAGATTTTGTTTGGGCGCAGCACCAAAAGTTTCCACTAGATGAAATTCATCTCCCATTCATTTCCAATGTGGTAATTTATGACCACGAGGATCACAAGTGTAATTCCTACTGTAATTCTCTAGGATCTAGATATTTTAATCAAAGATGAATAACAACAAGACACAATTAGCTTTGAGATGCAGTGTAGTTTAGCTGTGACATCATGCTATACCTCCCATAGGTCACACATAGCATTGTCCAAAGATTTTCTGAGCTTACAGCTGACAAATAAGAACATTCCATAGAAATCCTTCAGCTATAGCAACCTCTCCTCCCATTATGTGACAAAAACACCTGAGCCTGTTTTTGACCTAATGGAACAATCATGTTTTGTACAGAGTCATGTTTCTGAGAGATGTTTTATTTATTTATTTTTACTATTTATTAAAAAAAAAAGTATGATTAATATTATTTCGGTTTGATGGAAACTTAATGCGTTCACAGTTTTTGCTTCTAGAATCAATTTAGAATCAATTTTACTCTGGTGAATATTTG